TGGAGAGAGAGAGGGGCGAGTTTTATAAACAGTTCGCATTCAAATTGGGAATTTTATTTCCTGAAAGCTAGTCATCATCCTCATAAGTAGACATGAAAATTAATGTGTATCTTTATTTTCACAAATACCTAGTACATTTGCTATGCAAAACACGTTTACAAAAATACTAGACTTGATGAATGAGAGAAAGGTTTTATCTAAAAAATTAGCTCTGAGAAGAATCAATATTCACAAGCTTTGAAAGTATGATAAAACATTTAGAAGTTATAAAGTTTCCCAAAGATAAGCTATATTATCAACTCGAAAAATGCCTAAAAGTTTCCTCTTAAACCCTCTGGCACAATGAATAAAGCCATGTCAGGTAAAGTGCCTGCCTCCCAACTTATGAGATCTCACAAGAGCTACCACAAGCTGGACAACTGCTCTGGTACTTAGTAGTGTACATTAGTAAATATTCTTTACACACTACAAATGCTTAAAACCATTCATTATTGGGTAAAAATAGAAATGATAGAATATTAACTTTTTTTCCCTTAATTTCTTGTACAGTTCCATAGTGTGAAAGTAATGGTCAATAAGTTTCCTTTGCTATTTTTCCCCACCCTCTCCCACGTTTACTATTTAACAAGCAATAGTAGACTGCTGGCATGGCTTATGTGACACCCAGATTACATTACATCACTAAACAGACTTTCAAGAATGAGATGGTGCAAAATGCAGTATACTGACAGAAGTCATGCATGTGACCTTTTCTAATATGTACAAGCAAAATTTGTTTTCCTTTACTTTCTCCTGTTGTCAAAATTCCACCCATGCGAGATTTCAGTGTAAATACCACAGAAGGACAAAATATGGGAAACTTGTTAAAGGAAAGCCCTGTACATTCAAACAGCATTTGTTTTGTTATATCCAAACAGCATTTTTGAAAGTTATCTTCATGGGATGACCCATTCTCTGAATGAACTGGGGATCATCACTATATAATTGCTGTAGGAAACTAAGGATGTGTCTGATTCGGTAGTAATGAAGAGCTGAATTATGTATTACAGTACTATAGAATAACCTAGAATAACCATTCAAATCATCAAGTCCATCAGTCAATTATGCACCAAGGAAAAACAGTAATTTGCAAATGCAGGACTTCATTAAGTTTAAATAACTCGCCTTTTACTTACACATCATATATTTCTATATATAGACCTTATTATTGCATCTGACCTTGATATCTGTATCATCAAAGGCCATATGAAGTTACAAATTAATTTTGACAGAATATAGGTATTACAGTTGAAGAAAAAACGGTCTTCAAATATTAAAGAGATGAATCATCGTGAATCACTGACCAGAACAAATCCTGCTGATTGGTAACTAACCAACTGCCTCCAACAATTTGAAATGCCCATTGTTTTGTGAAATATGCTTACACATGGATAGCTCCACAAGAGCTCACTTACCACGGAATCAAATAATAGACTATCTAACCTCATAATTCTTTTAATCTTAGTATTATTTTTCCATTAATGCTGCTAATATCAATATCATTACTGACATTATGATTATAATCTTGCTATCACAATATTAACGGTAATATGGGTTATTGATTACTAAGCACTTGTGGAGTCATAAATATGTACAATATAATAAACTCAATGGGCATAGCATTGGGTTAAGATGGAAAATAAGTGAAAATACTTACAACAGTCACACCCTTGACCATGTTGGTAATGTGAGTGCACACAGTGCGCACAGCAGCCACTTCCTTGCGCTTGCCAAACCATTTCTCAACATTAACAATGGTTCCCTTGGCTGTCTTCCTCACCTAAAAAAGAAGAAAGTATACATTACATAAATCACCTATCAATATAATTCATTTATTCAACTATAAAAATGCAACAACCACCTATACAATTTGCATGCTCAGGAGATTCCAAATTGTACTTCTTCACAATTAGGCTCAAAAGCTAAAACATTAACACCTATACCAGTACTTACATGGAAGTTCAGCTTCAGCATTTGGAATGAACGTTTGAGGGTACCACGGGGGCCCTTCACCGTCACAATACGGTTATGTATCTTGAATTCCACATCCTTGGGGATCAGCACCTTCTGGCTGGTATTGATGGTCTTCATGGTGACCCTACCGGCAGAATTAATGAAAGTGTTAGACTAACATGCACAAGAGATTCATCAATCTATATTGAAGAGACGCGAGACATTTTCCACAAAGATATTCTGTATGTTAATTTCATGCACCTAACCAGATAATCTAAAATAGAGGGAACCATGCAAATGATGTGGCCTTCTTGCTTTTATACTTCAGATAAGCCAATCAATTTATATTTTAGCAGTAGCCTAGTTCTTACAGAAGAGAAGTTATTGCAATGCTTGGTTTCCAGCGCTGTGGACTTTGGTAATTTACAATGCTAATCTTTACTTTGCACAAATTATTTACTGTATTACCTAAAAATTTCAAAAACAACTGTTTTCTCAACCAGAAGGTTGTGCTACTAAATATATAGGAAGAGCTTTTGCAATCTGTAAATCTACAGATACAAACAGGTCACGAGTAATGGGGACATGCAGTACTGTGTTTGGTAATTGTTACTGATAGCACCCTTCCAGAGAAGTTGAAAAAAAAAAAAGACATTTTGTCAGGAAATATCAATTCTTGGTGTTGCTTCCTTTCCGAGAACCATTTCTCCATGGATTAACTTGATTTGCTAGTACTGATACAGTGACCGGGTGGGGGTCCAGGGGGCAGCCCCCCCAGTAGGAAAATATGATTGGAAGGGGGTCCGGGTTTGGGAGTTTAGTTTGTATGGCTATCTTTACGATAGATTGTGCGATTCTGCCAGATTCACTCGCCCGTTCATTTCCACAATACGGTAGCAAACCTTCATGGCCGTATCTTGATTTTTTTTCTTCATTTTTTCCACTTTCTTTACAATGTGAAATGTGAATCTTGGCTAGGGTTTTCATTTTCACACAAAATAGTGATTGCTTCTGTATATATTCAAATTTTACCCCACAATTTCCAATTTCTTGCCCTCCCCTGCTATTGGGGTCATGAATGTAGGGGCTGAAGGGGCTTCCACTCAATAAAACCTACATAACTGCATTGTAGATGGTGAGAGGAATCTAACAATACCCAAATCATCTAGATCTGTTATATTGACGTATTAGAATAAAATGACCAAATAATGTGGCTCTGCGCTATTACCCATAGCCTTCAAATCTAAAGACATATGTATGCCAGTAAATTAAATATTCATCTTAAAAGGTCCTTTTTATAACAATGCCTCTCCAGCTCAAGAGGACCCTAATCTTTGATTCAATTTAGGCCGTAACACGCCTGGACTTTTTCCGCATTGCTTTTTCGCCGGTCACTTAGATGCGCTGTCACACTAGCAATGAGAACCACAGAAACAGTGACAAAATATTTAAACAGCAAGATGGCTCCAACCCCTGCACAGACTAACAATGATGGACGCTATTTTGGCTATATGGCAACGATTCAAAGCGAAACAACATATGTATAATAAGTAACTGTCTTCTTGCAGCTCTCATCTAGTCAGTTAACGGGGGAACATAGACAAATGTAAACAAAGAGGTGAGCAGCTAGTTACCAACTTATACAATTTCTTGAATACGAGAGAATTTTGCCAATTTTACATTATTTACAATCTAGACCGTCTTTTTGAAGTTTCATGTTATAACTTTTTCTTTTGTTACTATAATGAATATCTATTATAGCTAATGGCTTAAACCAAAGGACCACACAAAATTTGCCAGCGAAAACAATCGAGTGGAAATTATTGCATTCGGCCAACGTGCCAGTGAGAGCAAGAACAAAAAACACGGAAATAGTACTAATGTGACAGCCCCTTCCGTTTCTGTGGTCTACCTTTCATGCGTCTGTTGAAGACAGGCGGTACTAACACATTTGTTGAAAATGGTGATACTTTTACCTAAGAAAGTACCAATACCTTCTCACAGTGCCTCGCCAACGGGGACTGACTTCTTTCGTTAAATCATAAAAGTAACACGTGGTAGTGTAGAAATGCAAAATAAAAATCGGGATAATGAACACCTAAATACCATGCACGTGTTATTTCTTCATAACTTTTACTTATTCCACTTTCCTCTCTCGAATTTTATCACCAAAGAACTCGTAAAGAATAAATAGCTCTTGGAAACATTAAATAACAGTAATATCACCGAAAGATTTCCTTCCTAATATCCAAATCTCCGGACGTTTGTTTACACCGTCCAGCGGCAGCACCTTACTATTCACTTAATTTTATATCACTATTTCACAACATATCTAGCAATTACCACTTTCAATATACTGTGTAACACTTGGTCTTCCGTATATAATACTTTGTATTTCAAAGTACGAACGGATGATCGCGGTAAATCAAGATAAAACTCAAAACTTCTCGAGTTCTAACCTCAGCGGTGGAGAACACAAATGGAAAGGCTCAGGGTGGACACATCTGAGAAATTTTCAAGTTCGATATTATTTTTTATATTATTTTCTAAGTAATTCAACTGTATTTATATGACAATAATTTTTATTTTTTTAATTTAATTATTTTCAATATAGAATCAAGTACGTAAATAGATTTGGTATATATTATCTGGCAGATGCTATCGACGGCATTCGTTCTTTCGAATTCTGAAATATCTAATATCTGCTTGCTTCTAGTTCGTTATAATATTTATTATTGTAAATGTGTTTTTAAATTTGTGCATACATTATGCTGATCGGAAATAAAAGTAAAACTAATATATAGGCGGTATTCTTTCTAATCAAAACTTCTGAATATAAATAAAGGTTGCGTATTGGTTATTTTTTCTATTTAGCTTAAAAAAGAACCCGCAAAGATAGTACGGACTTGATCATTATAATAATCAGGAAATAATGTAGATAAAAAAGAGTATAAAAAAGCTTCACCGCCCTCATAGTTTATACACCGAAGATAAAGAACATGTTACACCACCCTTCTTTAGTAGATAAATAAAGGTTGGTGTGTCATCCTTCCCGTCATCAAAAAAGATCCTTATATCAACTTATATCAACTCTTATTTAACTCTGTGACAATGCCTGCTTCAGTGACCGTTTTATGCCCTAATGGCCGAAGAGCAGTCGTCAAAGTCTCTCCAAATACAAGTATTTTACAGGTGAGATATTGGTCAAGTTGAAGTCGAGGATGTTTTTGATTATATTTTTTTGGTCAAATATTTCTTACTGGTTCGCTTCACCGCCAATAACAGTTATGTTATGCTTCTCGTGTCGTGTGTGCATTTATTGTATTTTTGGACCGTGTTAACCAGCCATTGCTACCAAGGTTGTTTTAAATTTAACGCGTTTAAATTGATTTAATTCTTGGGTTAAATTAAAGACTGTGGCTACTCAAATGACCAATCTTAACAATTATCAATGGACTATTTGTATGACATGGGGGAAGTTCCAGTAATGCATACGCTTTCACTGTAATTTCGCGCTTAAGCGATTGCACTGCTATTGTCATTGTGCACTGTGCTGTAGCTGTTGTTGGTGTCATAAAAATAGCCACAGTTTTGAGAATTTGATCTAAAATGATTTGTTGATAATATTGCATTTATTTTCAGTAAATTTGGCAATGCAACCCCACCTCTTTTTGGGTGAATAGAATAATCTTCCAACAGCTATTGTCGTGTTTCAAACAACTCGCATCTTACCTTATGCATTAACTTTTTGAGGGGCCAGGCTGTGGGTCACTGGGATCGTCGGGGGCATCCATGTCGTTGTTGGAAAGGGGTTGCGATCGCTATCCGCCATTCCTTATTTGACAGTGTACTTCCAGCTTGTGAGAAACAAATACAGGAAGGTACAGTTTCGTGGCTTCAACGAAGACATGGTGGTGGACTACTTCCAGCTTGTGAGAAACAAATACCGAGCCAAGTATTGTTTGTAGAATTCCTGTCACTTAATATTCTGTGTATGGATCTCTGGGTTTTCGGGATCCACAAAGTTTTCCGTGCTGTTTATCACTTGGTGTTCATATCCATGTTCACTTATCATTTAGTATGCAGTTTATCTGTCACTCATGATGATTGACCTGGGGAGAATATACTTCTTTATAAGAGGTATGAGGGTTTCAGCATCATGGTTCCTGCTCAGGGGCTCAACAAGGGGGGCAAGGAAGTGCTTTTTACTTACGTGCTCGATCCTGCTGAACACCCATATCTAGCTCAGCAACCTTCCCCTCTCATATTACACTTGCCAAAGACTGTCTCATCAATTTCTACAACAATTCTGCTCAGAGAATGACCTCAGAGCAGAAGCTTCGCCAGTCCACTCTAGTGTGCTCGGCAATATGGAAGCACTCAATAATAGTCTGATGGTCTCAGTGTCTGCTTAGCCAGTGAACAACAGTATTTGAAAGGATTCAAGTGTAGTTCCCGGGAGAAATGTCCCTTTTTAATCATGTATTGTAAAGTTACAGTGTTCTTTGTTTTGTTTTGGGACCCTTTTTCATGCACCACAAACCCACTGGTGTCTGTCTTTTCTATATAAGGACACAGTATCTTACAGTGTGGGCATTGTACTGCCACTTGAAGAACATAGAGATCTCATAGATATTGTAAACTAGCTTCGTTATTGCGGTGATATTTTGCAATAAAATTGAAATATTTATTATCACAACCTGCGCACTGTCTAGCCATGATTGAACTGATTTTAATTTCATATGGTTTCTCCTAGACCCAGCTTCTATTGTCTCATGATGATCTATTCCATATAGTAATGGTTCTGTTCGAGTGTCTATGTTCACGTGATGTTCAAGCATGAATTTAATTGGCTTATTTAATTTCCCTTGCATATGTCATCCGCTGTGTCTGTGATTTGCCACATCTCAAATTTAATGCCGCTAATAATAACAAACATTCATATCATTATATACTGTATTTTGATAATCTTTAGTAATGACAGACAAGGTGAATAGTGCAATAATTCTTGCTCATATTATATCAGTAATTTTATGAATTCATACTATTTAGATCCTTACTTTTTTGTCATTGCATCAGTTGTAAAGGCTAGCTGCACTATTTGTGTTTTCAATTAAGATACAGGAATAAAAATGTAGGAGATGGTTCAAATAATGTTTGATGATTTATCAAAAGAAGCCTCAAAGTTTTTCTGATTATTTTGAAAGGGGAATAGTCTTCAACTGAGGAAAATTTGCACAAATTACAAAGAGTCTGAACATTTGTGAATAGAAAATTTTGGTAGAATGTAGGAAACAACTAAAATATTGTTAGGTAATAAATCAAACATTATGGCTATCCTTATTCTAAACACAACCAAAAACAACCACAGTACAATACACAATGACGATACCAGTGCAGTACCTAAGTGCAAAATTATAGTGAATACGTATGTGTTTTCGGAACTTCCCCCATGTTGTAAGAATAGTCCATAAATAATTGTTACAACTGGTTGTAAGAATAGCCACATTCTAAATCAAAATTTTTAGCTTTAAGCTACTGAGGTCGTGAAAAGGTAATGTTCACTACAGTATTTTGAATTATATCTACACATAGCTGGTTCCAGAAGTCATACTAATTATTGCCCAGTACCATCCGGCACTGCCCAATGTTAATTGATTTACTGCCTGGTAGCTATAAATGGATTGTATGTCTTTTTGGTAATTTTTTTCAGTATAGATTACCAAGAGCGATGCACAGAAATAGAGGGAATTGGACTATGCCATCTTATAGAGTGTAAGAAGTAGAATAAGAAACAACATAGTTTAAGCTGCAGTGGCCTCATATTTACTGGTGAATGAAGGAAATGTCCGCTGCAAATCACCGCTCAGAAACTAAGTCCACAACACCCTGAGACAGGCAGAGTTTTTTTATGCCCGTTTTCTGTAGATTGGCAAAAAGTGCTAATAAAAGGGGGGTATAGGGGTCTTCCCCCCTGTCTAGGGAATAAATAGAAGGTAGGAAAGGTGAGGTTTGGTGTTTGAGTTTGCATGATACTACTGTGTGCTGCAGCAATTAGTGTGTTCGTCTAGCAATCTTGCTGACCTGCGTTCAATCCCCGTGCTTCCAGTGGATGGTAACCCTGGCCATTCCTTGCACAAAGGGAGATTTAACAAAATAAAACAGACAGTATGTCACAGCAAAGAATATCCATTATAACAAATTGAATTAAAGTAAATCTTTTATTTTTATTTTTTTAATCACTGCTTAATCTATTTCCAAGTGAAAGTAATTACTGATCACAAAAGTAATAATAAAAAAAAAAGAGTATTGCCCATCACTGGAAGTAAGTTAACATGTTATAAGAGTGTTATGGTGGGACTCCATGATATTGATGATATATTAGATTAGTATTATTTAGACGAGCTTCCTTATTTCCAGAAAATGTTGAGGTAGGTCTGCATCACTTCCAGAGCAGAGGCTGGCTATCATGGAACTCATTTGAATTTCAGTGTCCTTCACCCACTGTAGTTTCCTTTTTCACATGATCATTACAAATCTGAGTAGTTTTATTATACACTAGTTGAGGTGTTCTGTTATGACTGCGTTGGTTAAATTCTCATTTGGGCATGCTGAATGTCAGTGATATTTATATATTGTTTTTTTTTTTTTTTTTTTTTTTTTTTTTTTTTTTTTTTTCTTATAAGGAGTGTTTTATAGTGACATTTTACTTTTATAGCTTAATGATTGCAGATTTGTATATATTCATTGAATAAAAATTTCTCATGAATTATTTGGTCAATTTTGATGGTGAATTCAGATTTATAAAACTGTTGTTAACAATGATTTAGTAATCAATATTTTTTTTAAATAGACATTTTCATTTTCTACAATCCACTTTCTTTAAATGGTATTTTTGCATTATGTGCAAAATCTGCTTTTTATGGCATTGATATGCGTATTTTGATAATCTTCATAGCAAATGTTGATAGTGTTATATAGTGGTATCAAGTTGAACCTGAGATTTGGAGGTGAAAGCCGATTTTTCCTTATCCTTTTTTACCATTCTGGGTGTTTCCTATTTAAAACATAAAGAGAATGACTGTGAAACCTATTGCCAGTCTCTAGTACATCACATTAAACTGTATTTTATATTAAATGTTTATGTCCTTAAAACTGTGTTATTATTACTTGCATGTATCTTACCCTCCTTGGAAACCAGGGTTTCACCTTTGACATCTTTCCCACTTAGGAGAAAAGTACTGATTTAGGGAACACTTCCTTACCTTCTTTAATTAATACACCTGAAGACAAGATAATATATAAGCATTGTTTTATGCAAATTATGGTAAGCTAGTACATAATTTCAGCTCAGAAGTTGTGAAGTTACAAGTAAATTAATGTCATGAGGTGTTCCATGAAGAGTTTGGTTTACAATAAGATTATTGAAGGGCAGAGATGTTAGAATTGCAGAAAATTCAATCACCTCTCTGATTTACCTAGAGTCAACCAGAAATCCTCAAAAAAGAGGATTTTTCTCAGAAAGTTGCCTAATCTCAGATGCAAGAAAATCTGTTAGTGGAGGGTAGACAAACAGTCTTTTTATGGATCTCAAACTTATGGATTTAGAATGTATGATTTTAAGGCTTGAATTGTCAGGTTTGCTGATGCCAGGCCTATTTAATGTATCATCATTATTCCAGATAGGCATTTGAAGCAGGTATTTGTCCATTCTGATTGACTAATTTCAGGCTCTCATAGATATAGATGTATGTATATTGTACACAAATTGTAGCTATATGTTCTTACCGTACCTAGTTGTTTCAATACTGGAGAAGAGCTAAGCTCAGGTGGTCCCGTCTGCTATATTTAACTTGTCATTTAACTTTTTAAATTGATGCACATTTTTGGTACATGCTACATTTTGGGGGAGACTGTTCCATGCTTCAATTGTTTTGTTTGGGAAACTAAATTTTTTTATATCTTTATTACCTCTTTTTACTCTCAACTTTTTTGTTGTGTCCTTTTGTCCTTCTTGTGTTCAAGATTATAAAATCATCTTTATATATCTTCACTCTTCCTGTAATGCAGTTGAACAACATAATCATGTCCCCACTTTTCCTTCTTTCTTCCAAGGTAGTAAGTCCTAATTTCTGTTGTCTCTTGGTAACTCATATCTCTTGTGGGTGCTCTTTGGACTCTTTCCAGTTTGTCTTTATCCTTTTTTAAGGGTGGACTCCATACTGCTGCACCATACTCGACTTGGTCTTATGATAGCTATAATGATCTTCTTTACCATATCTTTTTCCACATACACAAATGCCCTCTTCATGTTGGCAATCAGTAGCATTTTATGGATCTTTTCACTTATATGATCATGTGGGCTTGGGTTTCTATTTATGATTACCCCAAGATCTTTTTCCCTATCAGCTGTATTTAATATTGTCTCCTAATTTACATTGGAATTGTGGGTGATTTCTACTTTCTCCAAACCTGACTATGTAGGATTTATTGGTATTGACTTTATTTTCTATATACAACTCGCTGTCACTTTGGAGGTATTGGCATGAGATGTCTGTTATCCTTTTTCTTTTTTTGTATCTTCACATCATCTGCAAACATATTCAGATAACTTCCTGGGCTTATGTTTGACTCTAAATCATTGACAGAAATGATTAACATAATTGGCTCCAACATTGATCCTTGAGGCACTCGTCCCCATGTAGAATGCTTGCCTCTAATTACTGTGCTCATCTGTTTTTCATGGAGATAGTCTTTCATCCATGCAAGTAATTTGCCTTCCACTCCACATAGGTGCTCTAATTTCCATAGTAGTCTTCTATGTGACACCTTATCAAAAACCTTTTTAAAGTCCAAGTACACACAATCCACCCAGCTGTCTCTTTCTTGTAATATTTCAGATATTCTATCATAAAAACAGATTTGTTACACATGACCTTCCTTTTCTAAAAC